TATTGATGAAGTGCAGAATAACTCTGAGAATTCCCCTGCCTTCCTGGAAGATGCTGCAGTAAGTGAAAATCCCTCTGACACTATCATTGTTGCTCCTCCACACATCCAGAAACGTCATCCAGCCACACAAGTTATTGGCGATATAAATGATAGGCTTAAAACTAGAGGTAAATATATCCCTGGACAGTATGCTTATGTGTCACAAATTGAACCAAAGTCCTACAAGATAGCTTTAGGAGATGATGCTTGGTTTTTAGCAATGGTTGAAGAACTTTCTCAGTTTACTCATCTACATGTTTGGGATTTAGTACCAAGACCCTTGAATGTTACTGTTATAGGTACAAAATGGGTGTTCAGGAATAAACTGATGAGATAGGCATGATTATTCGTAATAAAGCTAGACTAGTTGCTCAAGGGTACTCTCAGGAAGAAGGCATCGACTATGACGAGACGTTTGCCCCTGTTGCACGTCTTGAGTCAATTCGTCTTCTTTGTGCTTATGCTTCTTATTTGGGTTTTCCTCTATTTCAAATGGACGTCAAAAGTGCCTTTTTAAACGAGGTTATTGAAGAAGATGTGTATGTTGCTCAACCTCCGGGTTTTGTTGATCCTAAGTATCACGATCACGTGTTTAAACTTAATAAAGCTCTCTATGACCTTAAACAGGCTCCTCGAGCTTGGTATGATCGCCTTACAACTTTTCTTTGTGATCAGGGTTTCATTCAAGGATCAATTGACAAAACTCTCTTTACTAAGCATGTTTCTTCCGACTTTCTGCTTGTTCAGATCTATGTTGATGACATAGTCTTCGGTTCTACCAATACCAGCCTCTGTTCCTCCTTCTGTGAGTCTATGCAAAGTGTTTTTGAGATGAGTCTAATGGGTGAACTCAAGTTTTTCCTTGGGCTCCAGATTCACCAAACTCCCGCTGGTATTTTCATTCATCAGTCCAAATATGTGTCAAACATGCTAAGTAAATTCGAAATGAATGCTATTAATCTCAGTCCTATGCCTATGGCGACTAATATTAAACTGGACAGAGATGAGGCTGGTATCCCAGTCAATGAATCCTTGTACCGTGGCATGATCGGATCTCTGCTGTATCTTACAGCCAGTCGTCCTGACATCCAATATGTTGTCTGCCTGTGTGCTCGATTTCAGTGTCAGCCTAAACAGAGTCATTTATCAGCTGTAAAGCGCATTTTTCGATATCTAAAGGGCACAATAGATGTAGGCCTTTGGTATGCTAAACATGATAGTTTTGATCTAGTTGGCTACACTGATGCTGATTTTGCTGGCAGTTTGACTGATAGAAAAAGTACTTCTGGTAGTTGTCAGTTTGTGGGTACCTCATTAGTATCTTGGTCATGTAAGAAACAGGCTGCTGTAGCCTTATCTACTGCTGAGGCTGAATACCTCGCTGTTGGCAGTTCATGTGCCCAGCTTCTATGGCTTAAAACCCAACTTGCTGACTATGGTATGTCTGTTTCTTCCATTCCTCTTTTTTGCGACAATACAAGCGCTATATGCATGTCCAAGAACCCTGTTCAGCATTCTCGTACAAAACATATAGATATCAAATATCAATTCATTAGGGAATTGGTTCAGGCAGAAACTATTGTGCTTTCATTTATTTCATCAGAGTTTCAACTTGCTGACTTGTTTACCAAGTCATTGTCTGCCGACCGTTTGCATTTCCTTAGTTATGAGATTGGCTTGCGATCCCAGTCCTCTCTGACAGAGGTGATGGGAGATCTTGCCTCTTAATTGTCTCTTACCTTTTTTTTTTCCCGATTCTGTTTTGCTGTCTTAGCTTTTTTTGTTTCTGTTTTCTCCTTTTTTGGATGGCTTTTATTATTGATTTCGATTATTTAGTCTGATTCTTATAGTAAGTTTATGTCTTAGGGTTTTGTCGTATGAGTATTTATATGCGTGGTTTCCCTGTCCTTTCGTTTATCCTTGAGTGTTTTGTCTTCCTCTCTGTAGTAGTAGCCATGGTTTTGCCCTTCCTTAGCACGTTCACTGGCACCCTATTTTTAGATCCTATTCCTGCCAATGCTCATCGTCATGATCTGTTTTTTGCCAATCGAGAGGTTCTTCCCTCATATCATGTTCAGCTTCCTGATCTGATTGAAGTTGGACTTGATGTGCGTCCCTTCATTCAAAATCTTGGATGGACCTTTCTGTTGGATCATCCTTTTTCCTCTGTCATTTGTTCTGATGTTGTGCGCTTCTTTTATTCAAATCTTCGATTTACTCAACTCAGCTCTCGCTTTTTCACCACCCTGGTTTTTGGAAATCTTCTCACTATTCCCGTGGCTGAAATTGAACGTTCTCTTCATATCCCTGCCATTGGTGAGAATCTTGCTGATGCCTCTGAGTTGGAACTGTTTAATTTTGATATTTCGGCTGAGTTCCGCCAGCTTACATGCCAGTATCCTGGTCCAAACCTTTCCTTGCCTGTCTCGGCTCTTTTGCCCTCTCTTCGAGCTCTTCACTTTTTCATATCTCGAGTGTTTCTGCCTCGCTCTGGTAACTTAAACCTGATTACCCCTGTGGAGCTTTGGATTCTGGTTCATGCTGCTCATGGCATTCCACTCAGTTATGCTGACCTCTTCTTTGGCCATGCTCTTTCCTACTGCGATGTGAATGTCACTGCCCCCCTTCCCTTTGGTCCTCTCATCACCACCCTTCTGTTGCGCATTCGTGTCAATCTTCATCCTTTCCGCTCCATCACTCCCTCTATCTTTCTTACCGCCGACGATGTCATGGATCTACTGGAAATAGCAGTTGAGGGGGAGAATGGTGACGGCAACGTTGTTATCATTAGTAGCAGCAGCGATTCCGATGACTCTTCATCAAGTGACAGTGATGATGTCCCAGAACTGGCCCCATTTGCAGCAGCACTTCAAGCTCTTTATGGTTCTGACTCCGATGACGAAGTTGCTCAATCTCAGGGGGAGCAGTAGGCTTTATGTCCTTCAGGGTAGAACTGATCGGGCCTTGTTTTGTGGTTTGACAATTTTTCTGTTCGAGGATTTTGAGGAATTTACTTTACTTTGTTGTTTGGTTTGCCTGGCCAGGCTGTGGTCTTTGAATTCCTGTCTGGATGGTTGGACGTTTACCTAGTTTAATCTAGGTCGTTTTTGATGGTTTTGAGAATGTCTGATGCATATGTTTGATGATCCTATGAATGTTTGCTGCATATGTTGTCTTGGAGGAATTCTTGTGTTTTGTTTTGCAGGATTCATTAGCAACTTGCTATTTCCAACTTAAGGGGAGATTGTTGAAAGATGGAAAGTTGGAAATCAAGCAAATCAAAGATATATTGGCGGAAATCAAGCAAATCAAACGGCCACTGGTGGAAGCTTACCTTTTCTGGGCAATTTCAAAGGCAACGGTCTCCTTTCAGCTAGCTATATAAGCTTCCTCGGGGTAATCAAGCAGGGCACTGAGTAAGGAGCGGTACAGGGCTATCAACTTAGTGGGTTAATCAGAACAGAGGCATAGGATCTGTTTGATTGACGGTGTAACGGGTCTGGGTTTGGGTATCTGGGTTTTGCGGTTCAGAGTTCCTTTTCAATTCTTGTTGAGTCTTCTTTACATTTTCTATTTGCTTGATAGGAAAATTCAATAAAAAAAAAAAACAGAGTCTTCTAGACCTCAGTGCAGTACTGAGTCTAGGACGAGGACTGACCCAGTAGTTTGGGGAACCTCGTTAAAAATCGCATGTTCCTGTTCCTCTTCGTTCTCTTTACTGCTCTGTCTCTGGTTCCTCTGTTTTTCCCTCTGAACTTCAGTACAGTCGGTCTTCTTGCTGAGGAAGAAGACAATCTCTTCTTTAATTCGCAAGCTGTACTGAAGTGGGCTTCTTTTCTAAGTCTGTGTCTGCTGCCTTTTGTTTGTGGGCTTGGAAATATTTGGGCCCAATTCTGGAGACCAGTAGAGTAAAAGGCAGAGAATGAAAATCTCGCCTTACTCTTTCATTTCCCCCAAATTTCTCCAAGAACCCTAATCGAACTAGCAATTTTCGTTCAATAATTACATCCAACATCATATCCTACAGAGATTTGTCGAGCACAATTACTAGTCGTCAAACTATTATTTAGCCAAAATTTATATAAAGTGAGTCTATGATTTATGTAAACTAAACAACAAATTTAGCTGGGAAATAAGCAAGTGAAATAAACCAAAGATCTACTATCACTATGTGCAAATTTATTTAACACGTACCCGATTTCTTCTAATGCCATAAAAACTCACATGATGTCAATAATTAAATGTGATGTCATCATATTGACGAATAAAAAAGTAGTTGTATTAATATTCAAAAAATAAAATCAAAATAAATCCATGATTAATATTGTGGAGAGTATTGGAAGAAGGTAGTTTGAAATTTGTCAGTTATTTAGGAACTAAATTCGACCATTCGAGATTGATCCGCCATTCAAAAATACATCAAAACACACTAACGCACACTTAATTGATTTCTATAACTAAGGTAATGTACATGCAAACGATTTCAAACTCTGAAATGAGATTGAACCCATAATGCCATCAATATTTGGCCTAACTTAATGGTTTGAGCTAGAGCTTAATTGCTTCTTGTAGATGGTGTCCCCCCTAGAGCTATAGTGCCATAACTATATGTAGATAGCTTGAACGCCATGCCATCCCCTCTATATTAGTTTTAGGTTAAATTGTGATTCAGTTTTGTCAATATCTCCCAAAAAAAAAAAAACTAAACTAACCCTAAGGGTTGATCGTGAGAGCTATACCTAGCTATACATGTAGTACTTTAATTTGTCACCCCTTGTTGACTGTAGTATATATATTCTGTATCGATATTGTCACGAGACAACAACTTCACATAATTCAAGACAAAAAAAAAAAAAACCCCCCGCACGATGAATACTAGTTCATCTCAACTTATCGTGAGACGTGGAAACCCCATAAGCGTCCCACCTCCTCATCAGCCGGAAGAGTTCAAACAAAAAGGCATGTTCTTTCTCTCCAACATAGACCACATTGTACGTTGGGTTCGTACGATTTATGCCTTCAGGTCCAAAGACAGAGGCCATGAAGATGCCGGCGAAGTGATCAAGAACGCCTTGCGACAACTCCTTGTTCACTACTACCCTTTTGCTGGCCGGTTAGTGACCGTCTCCAAAGGCAAGTTGGCCGTGAGTGGCTATGAAGAAGGCGCTGTTTTTGTAGAGGCCGAGGCAGACTGCGTCCTTGAAGAGATCGAAGACGTCGCAAAGGTCGATCCTACTAAGCTTCGTGAGTTCGTGTATGATGATGGTATCCACGGAGGTGTCAAACCGTTGGAACATTGCCCGCTTTTGATCGGACAGGCAAGATGATTCCTTATCAAAATTTTCTTAATTATTTGTCAAACATTTATGTTTCATGACAAACTTATCCGGCTACAGTGCTCACAATAGGAACCATCTGATAAGCATTGAGAGCTGTAGGATCTGGGGGGTGTAAGCTTGACCCGGAACCCCATTGATCCGTTCCGATTCGGCCCGTTCCTGAGAGTCGAGACGGGTCAGTTTGTCTACACTCTACAGGGCCATATTAGGAACGGGTCATTTGTTGACCCTGTAAGGGTCGGGACAATTTAGGGACGGGTCACTTTTGATCCTGTGACCCTTAGCAACAACAAAGATCTCATACTATATTGGATTTTTTGTAAAATTTAAAAAGTTTAGGTACTAAATTGTAACAATAAAAAAATTCAGATACCAAAGCGTAATTTTACCATCAAAATCAAGACTTATTTGTAAAAAAAAAAGGTTCTAAATTGTAAGAAATAATAATTTTGGGTACCAAAATGTAATTTATAAAAAAGTAGTGTATTGATCAGGGCCGATCCACTGACTCGACCCGTCCCAACTCTTAAGAATCACACAGGGTAAAAAAGGAAACAGGGACGGGATGGGTCAATTATACATCTTGACATTTCATATATGAGTCAGACAAGATCAGGGACGGGTCACGATGAGTCAAGCCAATTTTTCAGCCCTACTAGGATCGGAGTGAACATTTACAAAATTGATACCTCTCGTCCATCCAATTGTTGAGAACCACTCGTGATCCTAGGACACCGTATCCAATGCTTATGTGATATTCTTTATCGATGGATTGTGAGCACCATAGCGAAATTTCTGAATAACCATTCAACAATATCTTGTAGGTGACCAAGTTGAAATGCGGAGGGTTCGTGCTTGGATTGTGTGTGAGTCACTGCCTCGCCGACGGTGTCACCGTGACTGAGTTGGTGAACTCATGGTCCGAGTTAGCTAGAGGAATGCCCTCAATCTCCATCCTTCCAAGTTTCGACAAAACCACGGTCCAACCTCGCGACCCACCAAAGGTCGACTTCCCTCATCCAGAATTCATGGAGATAGAAGCCAAAACATCCATTTCTCACGAGCACTCCTCGAGAAAAGAATCAATGGTGTACAAGATCTTCCCTCTGAGCAACAAAAAGATAGAGAACCTCAAAGCAACAACAATGGAGGATGTGACTAGCTGCACGACTTTCGAATGCCTAACGAGCTTCGTGTGGCGAGCTCGAACAAGGGCGCTCGATTTCGCACCCGATCAAGAGGCCAAGCTCATGGTAGCCGTGGACGTGAGGGAAAAATTGGATCCACCGTTGCCTAGAGGGTACGTCGGGAACGGGATCGGTGTAGCTTGTGTAACTTGCACAGCAAGGAAGCTGCTCAGCGATCCATTCGCTGAGGTGGTAATGCTAGTTCACGACTCTATCACAATGGTCGCGGACGATTATGTTAGGTCCGCGATAGATTACTACGAGGTGCATAGGACCAGGCAGTCATTGGGTTACACTATGATAGCGACGAAGTGGTCTAGGATTTCCTTTTTGGCCACGGATTTTGGATGGGGGAATGCGGTTCTAATGGCGCCGGTGGCTATACGTGACGAGATGGTGATTTTCTTGCCTAACAATGGTGGAAAGGAGGTTGGAGATAATAATAATAGTGGTATAAGTGTGTTTGTTGGTCTGCCGGAATCAGCCATGAAGATCTTCGAGGGCTTGATCGTGACCTTGATGAATTAATTAGGCAAGGTTTGGAAATTAACTTGCCATTATAAATTTTAATTACTATGAAGGGTTGAATCTAATTAGTTATTTTTTTTAGTGGATGAAAGTCTTTTGAATTTTCGTATCATCTATTTTGGCTAATTTTTTTTAATGGTCTACTAAGGCTATTTAAGTGATGGGAAATGGAAGGGATGATATATAAGGAATGCATGTATCCGATGTATAAATAATGTTGTAATTTCTATGTATCGCATAAAAGGAAAGTATGTATTAATGTTTTTTTGAACACAAGTATGTATTAATGTTACTAGCTATAAAAGCTAAATCTAGTAGTGTATCATAGTTATTAAAAGAATATTCACTTTAATATATTTTGGGAAAAAAATTAGATATATATTATTAGTTGAAATATACCATAGTGGTATGTAGGGATGAAAAGCGGTACGGTGTCGGTATCCCAATACCAAATATTGAATCACGGATAGCGAATATTGTCCTAAAATCAATTTCAAATCAATCCCAATATAAATTTGGTATCCCAATCCCATAATATTTCGATACAGATCGGTATTCTTGAATACAAATTAATTACATTCTCAAAAGTTGAAGCAGTGCCAAACACCTCTCACTACAACAATTTTGGGATGTCTTGACGAAATTTTAATTTGTCATTTTAGGTTTGTCACAATAGAACCTATAATATGACAGAACTAAAATTTGTCATATTAGTTGTGTTTTTGTGACAAAGAAACATTTTGTCATACTAATTTGTCATAATAGACCCATATTGTGACAAAGTTATATGATGTCATAATATTTTGTCATATTACATATTTATTATGACAAATAGTGTATGTCATTATAAGTTTGTCACAATATTGTTCTCGTACTTTATTTCAAGTAACATAATTTTGGTAATGTGACAAAGTTTGATTAGTCAAAACAGGGGTGCTTTTATTCTTTTCCATTTTATGTTCAGATAATGAAAGTGAGAGAGAGAGAGAGAGAGAGAGGACATAGGGCGCGGGACCTAATTCCCTCCAGCGCTCCAAAACCATATCCACTCCCAAATTTCGCCGCTCAAAAAACCCTCTGTCAATTGGTCTGTCTTCGCAGTCGCATCGAATCCTCCCCGCAGCAGCGAGCAAGCTCATCGCGTCATAATCGAGTAAGACGACTGTACTCTCTTCGATCACCCTCTTCCACTTCTGTCGCATCGTTTTTCGACGATTGAGGTAGTTTTGTCCAACGGTATGACAAATATTTTTGTCATAATAGAGCTATTATGACAAATGTAGGATCTGTTGTGACGAACGTCATTGTCATAATATCCCAAAATTGTTGTAGTGTCTAAAAGATCGGCTTTTGAAAAGCCGAAAAGCGCTTTTGTATAACATAAAAGCAGAAGCTCCGATTTGTAGCTTCTACAAAAAGGTGTTTTGAAAATGCAACATTATCCTTACCTTATTTTAATTCTATTTCAAAAAATATAATTTTCATTCATTTATATTATTTTAAAAATAAAAGAAATTATAAAATCATATTATTTAATGTAAAAATCTAACAAGATCCATTTTGACTACATTTTATTGTTTAAAATTTTTATTCATAGTTTATATTATAAGTATTCTATAGTCATATTACACAACCTCTCATATTAAAAAACACTTCTAATAGTTTTCAGCCAATTACTCAACTGTTTTTTTTGAAAAGTACTTCTCTAAAAGTTGCTTCTGCAAATGCTACAGCAGGGCCAAACGTCCATGATTGAAAACTTCGGTGATGGGAAGTTAAGGCGAGAAAAGTCTAATAAAAGTCCCCACTGAATGAAATCCATCAAAGCCTCCATTGAATGCATTCATCGCAATTCGCATGTGCACATTTGGGGCTACGATACTAAAAAAAGTGTCTTGAGTTTGTCTAAAACTAAGACGAAGACAAACAAGATGGTGATATCTCACTTTCTTGTTCTTGGTAATCTTTGATTTGATGGAATGGAGGTTGAGAAATGACTAATGAGAGTGTCAATTTTTTTTTATTCTTAAAATAACAAGTTTGAGTGAGAGATGAGAATGACTAGGAAAACTTGGAAACGAAGCTTGGATTGGATGGTGATATCTCAATTTCTTATTTTTTTATAATCTTTAATTATAAATTTTTGGCATATTCTAATCTCAATATCATAATCTTGAATACCAAATAACACCCTATAATCAATTCCAATCCCCAAAAAATAACTCGGTATTCGGTAATATCATATAGTGATAAATTTAGTACGATATTCGGTACATTCCAAGTACTGGTACCAAACTTTCATCCCTTGTGTTATGAATATACTATAGTGTAAAATATTGTATAAATGATAGTAGGAATATACTAACCACCATTTGCCACATTTTAGCACCATCTACCACAAGTTACCACCTTATACAGAGTAATATAGGATGGTATATTTTCTCCTTAATTTTTTTCCAGATTTTTGTAGATCACAATACATCACGATAAACTTGTTCATTCTATACAAAATTTTGCAAAATTTGGTAAAAAATGAATGTGCTAGAAGGTGGTACTATGTGGTACCATAGTGGTAACAAGTGACAATGGATGATACAAATTTTTCCTCAAAATATATCGAAAATGTACAATTTTTTAGATCACAATGAGCCTCTCATCTGTGCACAGAAAAAATCAGGTCAAAACAAAGAAGCTACAAATGGATTAAAAAAAAGGAAAAATATTTTTTTAATACCACCCATTAAATTTGGCCTCACTAAACGTGAACGACTATTTGCCGCCAACCAAATTGCTATTTGCCGCCAACAAAAAAAAATTAATTCAAAGATGGTAATATGTCTTTGGTAGAAGAGTTTCACTACCTACAACATATCCAACCTCATAGAAAACGTATTGAATTAGAAAAAATTGACGCTCGATGGAAAACTCGCCGAAAAATCACCGGAAAAGCCAAACCTCGACGTAAACTGCACATACGCAACCATAAATCATCACTAAGCAGGTGCGTCAATTTTTTGGAGTTTCGAACAATAATTTTGGTGATTTTCAAGGGATAGATGGCGTGCCAAAAGATCTCGGCGACCAGAATCTGGCCGGACCGAAAGAATCCGACGGTTAGAACCAGGGCGATCCCAGTGCCTCCTTCACCGGCATCATCCCTCCGTCGTCGGACACAATCTCGTCGCTGTCAACCAACGAAAAAATGTAAGTTTTTTTCGGCGATTTTTTCCGCTTTCCCGCGATTTTACTGTGGCCGATAGAATTTTCTGGCTGGTGCTTTGCCGGGCCAAAGGATTTTTTGGCCCGGCGAGGTGCTAGCCGAAAAAATCCTTCGGCCCGAGGACGCACCGGCCAGAATATTCTTTCGGCACGGCGTCGACGCCGCAGTGAGAATTTTTTCAGCCGGCGTCGACCCGGCCATGCAGAAGGGTTTTTTCGGTCGACGAAAGTCGTTTTTTTTACGGCCTGGTCGACGTCGGCCGAATAAAATTTGGTCGGCAGCATCGACGCCAAGTTGAAAGAATTTTTTGGCCGATGCGTCGCCAGGCCGAAAAAATCCTTCGGCCCGGCCACGCACAGGCCGGAAAATTCTTCCGGCCGCCGTAAAAAATTGTCAGAAATTGGTTGTTTTTCGTTGGTCGGCGACAACGAGACGGTGTCTGGCCACCGAAATATTTTGGCCCACCGTCTGTGCCTTGATAATCCTCGTAAAAATTGTTCGAAACTTCAAAAAATCGACACACCTGCTTAGTGATGATTCATGGATGCGTGTGCGCAGTTTTCGGCGACGATTGATTTTTTCTGATTTAATACGTTTATGGGAGTTGGACATGTTATAGGTAGTGAAAATCTTCTATGGAAGACGTATATATTACCAATTTTGAATTTTTTTTATTGGCGGAAAATAGCAATTTGATTGGCGGCAAATAGTATGCCTCTTTTCAAATTCATTGGTACACTTATGCATAGTGTTGACATCTAAAATTAATTTTGCTGGAATTAAATGCCGCATTAGTCTCGGCATTTAATTCGATACTGTGGGTAAAAAACGGCGTCGTTTGAAGTCGAGCGGTGTCGCGGAGAGTTAATACGATGCCGCGAAACAGAAAAACGGTACCGCAAGGAAGCTCAGCGGTACCGAGACACAGAAAACGACACCGCCGGAAATCAAAAAGGGCCGCGCGTTTAATGGATGTTGGAGGAGGATTTTTTATTATTTAATTATTATTGTTTATTCCTTGTGAGAAGCGGTATCGCGGAGAGTTCAAACGGTACCGCGGATTTAAAAACGATGCCGCGAGAGCCTGATAAGCGGTACCGATTAATTAAACCAAAATTTGCCTAGTCCAATGCAAGTGCCGATTGGCGGCGGTTCCATGGAATATTTTTGGCTATATCAGCGGTGTCGTTAAATTCAAAACATTACCGCGAGTAGGCCCAACGGTGCCGTTGTACTAGCAAACGACTGTGTTTAAAATATCAAACAATGTCGCGAAAGGAAGCAAACGGAGTCGTGGCGCTAATGATGTCGTTGGCCATGGCTAGTGATGGCCGGATTAATTAATTAATATTTTAATGACTGTTTAGGATGATGTCGTTTAGTTGAAAACGATCCCGCAAGAGGAAAGAAACGACACCGCATGACAAGAAAAACGGTACCGTTTGGTAGAGAACAATTTCGCGGGATGAAAAACGACATTGTTTGATGGGGCCGGGACGGAACAGTTCAAGGCAGGTATCGATTACTGAAAAGCGATGCCGCGGAAAGATTAAACGACGCAGCAGGAGGTATCAACGACATCGCTGTATCATAAACGATATCGTTTGATTAAAAACGATATCGCAGTGGTTAAGAGCTCGGCCAAAGGCAGCCCGCCAAGCCCAACGATGGCGCAATAGTAGAGAACGACGTTGTTTGATGGACTAACAATGTCGTTGGTTAAACCGGGTCGGGGCAGCTGAGTTGGATTATAAAACGACAGGTTGGTGAAACGACATCA